TCTGTCTCAAAAATAAATAAATAAATAAATTTCTGGAAATGGCAGCTATTTTAATGGCCATTCAGCAAGGTATTTATGTGGAGTAACTGGGACTGAACCCTTGATTCTGATGCAAAATATGTATATATAGATATGTAAAACTATCTGGTTTTTTATCAGTCTAGTTAAAACTAATAATATCTACTTAAAACTAACATGCTACTAAAAATAGAAAAAAACTAGCTGGCACTGTGGCAGGTGCCTATAATCTCAGCTAGTTGGTAGGCTGAGGCAAAAGGACCTCTTGAGCCCAAGAGACTGTGGTTGCCATGAGGTATAATGATGCCATGGCACTCAACCCCAGGGTGACTGATTGAAACTCTGGCTCCAAAAAAAAAACAGAAGAGATGACTGCCAAACCACCTATTATGTGAGGAATGGATTGGTAATAGCATACTGTCATTTAAGAAGAAATCTTTTATTATGAACATTTTATTTGTAGTTCTTACTGGGTATTTATCATTGATTTAAACTGTATACCATTCACGTATGGTTAAAAAGTGGGTTATTTTTTGGGTGGTGCTTGTGGATTAGTAGGTAGGGCGCCAGCCTCATATACCGAGGGTGACGGGTTCAAACCTGGTCCCAGCCAAACTGCAACAAAAAAATAGCTGGACATTCTGGTGGGCGCCTGTAGTCCCAGTTACTTGGGAGGTTGAGGCAAGAGAATCACCTAGGCCCAGGAGTAGGAGGTTGCTGTCAGCTTTGTGACACTGCGGTACTCTGTTGAGGATGGTAAAGTGAGACAGAGTCTCACTACAAAAAAAAAAAAAGTGGGTTATAGAATTTCTAAGGCCGGGTACAATGGCTCATGCCTATAATCCTAGAACTCTGGGAGGCCAAGGTGGGTGGATTCCCTGAGCTCAAGGGTTTGAGACCAGCCTGAGCCAGAGTGTGACCTTGTCTCTAAAAATAGCTAGCTGTTGCGGCGGGCACCTGTAGTCCCAGCTGCTTGGGAGGCTGAGACAGGAGAATCGCTTGAGCCCAAGAGTTTAAGGTTGCTGTGAGCTATGACCTCATGGCACTTTACCAGAGGCCACAAAGAGACTTTGTCTCAAAAAAAAGAAAAAAAAGTGGTTATTTTTGCTTTATATTTAATGTTGAAATAGTCTCAATTGTTTTGGCTAAATTATACTGCCCTGTATTGTGTATTTCCATTCATGATGATATATTTAACATTGAAGGGGTACAGAATAAAAATCTAAATATTGGAAGTCTGGTATACATTATTGTTTTTTGGAATGAGATTTAATACTCGTGCTTATATCAGAATGTCATGAATGGTATGTAACTGCAGTAACTTCTGTTGGCCAGAATATAAAACCTAATTTTCACTGGGCATAGTGGCTCATGCTTTTAATTCTAGCACTTTGAGTAGCTGAGGCAGAATTGTTTGAGGACAGAAATTCGAGACCCGCCTGGGCACCATAGTGAGATCCCCGTGCTTAAATAGAAAATAAAAAAATCAGTGCTTCTATAGTCCTAGCTACTGGGGAGGGTGAGGGTAGATGATCATTTGAGCCCAGGAATTTGAAGTAACAGTGAATTGTGATCATGGCACTTGTACTTTAGCCTGATAAACTCCTGTTTCTAAACAAAATAAAACAAAATTCTATTCTTTGTTTTGATTAAAATTCTTAGTCCTCTTTTCCAGGTGGAACCATGGAGGGTGTTGAAGAGAAGAAAAAGAAGGTTCCTTCTGTGTCAGAAACCCTTAAGAATAAGCGAAAGAATTTTGCAGAGCTGAAGATCAAGCGTCTGAGAAAGAAGTGTGCCCAAAAGATGCTTCGAAAGGCAAGAAGGAAGCTTATATGTGAAAAAGCCAAGCATTATCATAAAGAATACAGATGTACAGAACTGAGATTCAGATGGCTGGGATGGCAAGAAAAGCAGGCAACTTCTCTGTACCTGCAGAACCCAAATTGGCGTTTGTCATCAGGATCCGAGGTATCAATAGTGTGAGTCCAAAGGTCCAAAAGGTGTTGCAGCTTCTTCGCTTTCACCAGATCTTCAGTGAAACTTCTCTTAAGCTCAACAAGGCTTCAGTTAACATGCTAAGGATTGTAGAACCATATATTGCATGGGGGTACCCGAATCTGAAGTCAGTAAATGAGCTAATCTACAAATGTGGTTATGGCAAAATTAATAAGAAGCGAATTGCATTGACTGAATGTTTGCTCAGTCTCTGGGTAAATATGGCATCATCTGCATGGAGGATCTGATTTATGAGATTTATACTGTTGGAAAACGCTTCAAAGAAGCAAATAACTTCTTGTGGCCCTTTAAGTTATCGTCTCCATGGGGTGGAATGAAGAAAAAGACAACCCACTTTGTAGAAGGTGGAGATGCTGATAACAGGGAAGACCAAATCAATAGGCTTATTAGAAGAATGCACTAAGGCAGTGGTTCTCAACCTTCCTAATGCCACAATGTATTTTCATTGTTAAAAAGAGGTTGGGACCCACAGGTTGAGAACTGCTGAACTAAAGTATCTGCCTCGATTGTTTTTGTAATCAATTACAAAACAGTTAATAAACAGTGATTGCTTTCAAAATGAAAAAAAAGGAAAAGATTCTTAGGCCAGATGCAGTGGCCTGTGCCTGAAATCTAGTACTCTGGGAGGTTGAGGTGGGTGGATTGCTTGAGCTCAAGAGTTGGAGACCAGACTAAGCAAGAGCAAGACCCTATTTCTAAAAGAAAAAGAAAAATAGCCAGGCATTGTGGTATCCTTCTATAGTGCCAGCTACTTGGGAGGCTGAAGCAAGAGAATCTCTTGAGCCCAAGAGTTTGAGGTTGCTGTGAGCTATGATGCCACAGCACTGTACCAAGAGCGACTAATACTATCAAAAACAAAATTCTCATGGATCGGCGTCTGTGGCTCAAGTGGCTAAGACGCCAGCCACATACACCTAAGGTGGTGGGTTTGAATCCAGCCTGGGCCCGCCAAGCAACAATGACAGCTGCAACCAAAAAATAGCCAGGTATTGTGGCGGGCTC